AAAGAAAGAAAAACGTGCCTGAAGAATCCGAAGTTGGAGCTGGAAGCACGTACCTCGTTAAAGGATTTTACTTAATGAGAAAATTAACATAAAGTGTTAGGTGTTTGGCTTGGGAAGTGAAAAACTAAAAGTCATGTATTATCCCCAGGAAATAGAGACAGAGAAGGTGTACCCTGAGGAGAAATGGCTTGTCGGGAAGCCACAAAGTAGCTGTTTATGAACGTGAACCATCGGCCATTCCTCATGAGGCCTAATGATAGCAGCTGACCTTTAGTGAGGCTGCACTGCTGTCTGCTCGCCAGCGGAGGAGCACGCCTGCAGTGGAACCACGTTGGGCTTATGGTCTCCTTCTGATGAGGAAGACGCACACCGTGGAACTGTGGCACAGCACAAGAAGACGTTGTACACAAGGTTTGCCAGATTTGAGTTGGCGTTCATTGGTTAGGGAGGGGGTCAAGGAAGCAGGGCTTCTCTCTGGATTGAATGTTGTTAGGAACTGAGGACACTTCTATGATTGGGTATTTTAATTCTTATCTAACAATGGAGAAAAACCATGTTAGGCTAAAGCTGCTCTAAAGAAGCAGCAGTCACATAATAGGATTAAATAAAAACAAAAACACCTCATTGCCACAGAGCCAACTCTGTAGGATAACAATAGGAGCTGCCAGAAATTCAAGCTGGATTGAGAAGAGAGCATGGAAGGAGGGGTGGTCACTGCTGACCTCAGATGAATCTTGGCTGGAAGCAGAGAATACCAGAAAACTGTGTACTTGTGGTTTATTAATTATCAAAGATATTTGACTGTGTAGCTCACAGCAAACAATGGATAACATGGGGAAGAATGGGAATTCTAGAACACACCCTTGTGCTCATGCAGAACATGAACAAAAGGTAAGAGGTGGTCACTCAAACAGAATAAGGGGACACTGCATGGTTTAACATTAGGACAGATGTATCAAGGTTCTATCCTCTTGCCATCCTTGTTCAAGCTGTATGCTGAGCAAATAACCAGAGAAGCTAGACTAGGTGAAGAACACAGCATCAGGATTGGAGGAAGTCTCATGTACAACCTGTGCTATGCACATAACATAACCGTGCTTACTGAAAGCAAGGAGCACTGGAATCACTTGCTGATGAAAAACAAAGGCTGTAACCTTCAATATGGATGACAAAGAAAACAAAAATCCTTACAGTCGTACCAATAGAAGACATCATGATAAAAGGGGAAAAGATTCAGGCATCAGAAGTTCAAAAATAAACAATCTCATCGTGGTGAAGGAGAGGGGTAAAAGTAGAGACCATCAGAGGATAATTGGACATTCCTGCATAGAGGGGTTGCAAGGAAGAGAAGATAACATCCAGGGGGCAGTTGGACACTGATGAAACACACAACACTCCTCTAGT